CAAAAAAAAAAAAAAAAAAAAAAAAATCCCAGGCCCGAACTGGAATATTCTTTACAACCGGCCATTAATTAGACTTTTTTTTTTTTGGTACCAGGGATCGAACTCTGGACCTTGAGCTTGCGAGGCAGGCGGCAGAACCACTGAGCTAAATCCCTGGTCCGAACTGGAATATTCTTTACAACTGGCCATTAATTAGACCTTTTTTTTTTTTTGGTACCAGGGATTGAACTCTGGACCTTGAGCTTGCGAGGCAGGCGGCAGAACCACTGAGCTAAATCCCTGGTCCGAACTGGAATATTCTTACCAGTGAATTTACGAAGCTTACACAGAATCATCAGTGTGCATGGGCCTATTCTGAAAAGAGAAAAGCAGCCCCAAAGAAAGAACCTGGGATGGACAGCACTGCAGCAGCCCAGCAGCCCAGAGTGATGGTCTGCTCCGGGCTCTCCTCAGCTCCGCAACCCAACTGCCAGCCTTTCCCTTCCTGTGTGGGAGGCAAGCGCAGGAGCCTGCACTTGTGAAGACTGAGGTGGACTGAGCCTGCTGTGTCCCTTCGGGGAAGGAACCAGAGGCAGAGGCCGAGCGCTGCAGTGAGCTTGGGGACCCAGGGCATGGACGGCGCTCTCTGCCTAGACCTCAGGGCATCCGGGCCTCATCTTGCACGGCCTTCTTCCATTCTTCAGACATTCACAGCTGTTGCTCATTCCCCTTAGCCTCCCCTTCACACTTCTTAAAATCTGAGGCCGGATCTCACTAAGTCACTGAGCTGCCCAGCTGGGCTCAAGCTGGGCCCCTCCTGCCACAGCCTCAGAGTGCCAGGACTACAGGTACACAGTACCACACCTCCTCCCCTCACTCTATCTGCCATCAGACTCTCTCCTTGATGAGGAGGCAGCCCGGAGGTCGAACCCAGGCTCCGTCCTGGCCAAAGCGGCCCACTCTGCAGCCCGTGAACAGCTCACCTCATGACAGGGAAGCCATCCCGGTGGGCGTGGTAGAAGAGGGTGTACCAGTAGGGCAGCAGGGAGTACCGGTGGCCCAAGGCTTCCCTGATGATGTCTTGATGCTGAGCCGGTAACAGCCACGGCTCCCGCCGCCCAGTGTCCAAGTGCGCATGAGCCCGGAAGAAGGGCTGGTAGGCACCCATCTGGTACCAGCGCACAAGCAGCTCGGGGTCTGGGTTCTTGAAGAAGCCCCCCACATCCGCTGGGGAGGCAGGGCGAGAGCGGGTTACAGGAGGGTGCAGGAGGGCAGCTGCACCACGGCCCCGTGCATACACCTCAGTCCTGTGCCTCCCACTCTGCCCCGGCCCAGCCCTCCATCCTCCCCTCTCACCCCCACAGAAGGAAAGTCCCACCAGCCCCAGGCTGAGGCACATGGGGATGGAGATCTTCAAGTGGTCCCACTCGGCAGTGTTGTCCCCGGTCCACACAGCCCCTGAGGGAGGAGAGGGCGCTTGCACAGAGAGGGCTCAGTCTTCACATGGGCAACCTGGGGCCTGGGGACCCCCTGAAGGTGCCGGGCCAGACAGGGACACACACACCCCCCCCCCCGGATGCTGCTGGGAGGACAGTGCCCAGGCTGTGGCTCCCAAGGCCTGGCCTCCACATCCTCTGCCACAGCTCCACTCCCTGGCTCTTACCAAAGCGCTGGGAGCCAGCAAAGAACGCCCTGCTCAGGACAAAGGGGCGCTCAACGCCCCCTGAGCGCTGAATGAGCCCGTCCGCAGTGGCCATGTGCTGGGGGATGGACACAAGAGCCAGCGTCACGTGGGGAAGCTGCCCACCAACCCCCAGCAACCCCCGTGCCGCACCACATAGAAGCCGTAGATGTTGTGGATGTCACGGTGCTCCCAGCCCCCGTGGTGCTGGGCATCCTTCAGCATAGTGACCTCAGGCCCGTTGAACACAGACGGTTCGTTCATATCATTCCAGACATAGAGGTTGGGAGCAGAACCCTGGGGCACAGGCAGAAGATGCAGGCAGGACAGAGAGGAGAAGACAAGGCGGTGTCAGTGCAGAGCACTCCCTGAATCTGGAAAGATCTACTTTTCAGGGTGCTCCGAGGATCACGGAGTCCCCCCAGTTTGCTACAGGCAACCAAGCAAGCAGAAAGACTACTGCAGGAGACAGGGAGGGCCAGGCAGACCCCACAGGACAGGCCGTTCCTACCTCATAGTTGTCAAAGCTGAACATGTTGGCCCACCAGGCTCTCATCCTGGGATTGGTGAAATCGGGGTAACCAGCAGAACCTGGGAGACAGCAAGGACAACCTGTGAGCCCCCAACAGGCACGGAAGCTACCGCCCCACCCCTCACCTGCCCTCTGCCTCGGGCCTGGGCCTGCCTACCTGGCCAGCACCAGCCCTCATAGTCGGAGCCATCCCGGGTCTTCACGTACAGGCCCTGGTCCCGCAGCTCCTCGTGGACCCGGTAGCCAGAGTCCACCTTGATGTGGGGGTCCACGATGGCCACCAGCTGAGTAGACACCGCTGGTCAGAGCTCCCCAAGGCAGCCCCGCCCCAGCCCCACCCGAGAGGACAAGAGGGCCTACAGCCCCTCACCTTCCGCCGCTTGGAAGCCAGGCGCTCGAGCATGCTGCGGGGCTTCGGGAAGCGGCTGGGGTCCCAGGTGAAGTACCGCTTGCCGTCAGCGTGCTCGATGTCCAGCCAGATGACGTCACAGGGGAGACTGTGGTCATCGAAGCCCTGGTCCACCTCCAGCACATCAGCCTCGTCCCGGTAGTTCCAGCGGCTCTGGTGGTAGCCGAGGGAGAAGAGCGGGGGCAATGCCTGGGTCCCTGTAGGGTCATTGAGGGAAGGGCCACAGTGGGGCTCAGGCCCAGTCAGGGCCGTGGGGACACCCAGAGATGGAGGGAGGCCCAGGACTGCTGAGAAGGAACAGATCAGCGGGCCAGGAACCGAGGTGCCGAGTACCTGTGAGGCTGGCATACTGCTGGAAGACATCGAAGGCAGAGGGCCCAAGGAGCAAGAAGACATCAATGATACCGCTCTCCGACATCCAGCGCACGTCTGTCTGCGGGGTCTCTCCGGAGCCCTGCAGGTAGTCCAGCATCTTCCCAAACAAGGTCTGCAAGGGCAGGGGCAGCCGCTTGCTGCTCACAGTCCAGCTCCCAACAACGGCAACTTGCTCTCCTCGGGTCCCCGGGCGGCCTAGGCCCCTCCTGGGGAGGCATCCCCTGCCACTCCACTCATGCCAGCGCTATCAGGAGTGGCCACCTTGCCCTATCCGGCCAGCTGCCTGTCCCATGCCGTTCCTCCTTGGCACAGGGCCCTGTCCAGCTTACAGCACCACAAGGCTGCCTAACACACACACCAGCCGCCACTGCGCCCTTAGGCAGCCGGAGTGGTGCCCACCCAGCGACCTGCCAGCTGCCCACATGCACCTGGCAGCCCTGCCCTCCCCACAGGATGCACCTTTCCTGCTGTGTTGGAAGAGATGTCAACCCAGGTCTCGGCGGCATTGAGCCAGAAGATGCCCAGGTCACGGTGAGGGCTGTGAGCCAGCAGCACAGGCACAGAGCCATACAGGGCCATGGGGTTGTCCACCTCGTACTGGAACACGTCCAGGTTGTACAGGCGGTATGGCTCCCCGCCCCTGTGGAGGAGGCCGACGCTGGCGAAGGCCTGTGCTGTGCACGGGTCTCCGCCTCCCCCGAGCCGGGTGTTTCCAAGAGACTCACTCAGTGGCCTTCAGCCGCAGGCTGTCTGCATGCTCAGGGATCCCGTACACGTGCTCGATGCCCGGCAGGGAGAAGTCCAAGCCCACAGACGTGGGGCCTGAAAGAAAGGTAAGGCTGAGCCCAGAGCTTCCCCGGGCTGGGGCTCCCCACCAGCCAACTGGACCTCACCGTGGGGCTTGCTGTCCGAGTGAGTCTTGAACATCTCTTCCCAGGCCCCTGGCTCCTCTCTCTCTGCCGTCTGCTGGGTCTCTGGCTATGAGGAGAAAGCAGTGACCCGGTCGCCAGGGGCTCCTCCCCGGCACCTGTCACCTCAGCCCCTCTGACGGGGACACAGCCTGCCCTCCACTTGCCTTGTCTCCGTCCCCAGCCACATCCTCGGGCTGGGCCCCGTCGCCCTCAGCGGGGTCCGTTGCTCCTTGCCTGGAAGGTAGGAGAGCTGTCTGCTCCAATCCAGAGGGGCAGGGACGAGGGGCTAGTGAAGGAGGGGTGGGGACAGAGAGCCAAGGGTCCAAAGGAACAAAAGCTCCAGAGGAGGGACTGAACGTTAGCCTGGAAGGGCCCCGGGAGCGGGCAGTTTTCAGAGCATGGGGGAAGAACTGAGAAAGGAAAGTGGGGCGAATGCCACCGGGCCCCCCCAGCACAGGTCCATACCCGTGTCCTACAGGCACCCCCAGAAGACAGGCAAGCAGGAAGTTCGGGGGTCTCACACCAAGCGGGCCCTGCTGCCCCCGCTCCTGGCCAGACAGAGCCATGCCCAGGCCTTGAGAAGACCTCAAGAGGCGTTGCCTAGGTCGGCTGGTGAGCAGCCCATCCAAGGCCCACTCCATCCCGGCCAGACCCAGGCTCTCGGCACGCAGCATCCCGCCACCCCAGGTGCAGAGGTCCGAAGAGGTCCACTCCCTGTGCTCCTGAGGGCTCCCAGCCGGGGCAACAGGGAGCGGAGGGGGGAGGGCGAGGCATGAGCAGGTCTGGAGTCCCTTCCCAGGCCAGAGTCAGGGCGGGCGGGGGGGGGCGGGCGGGCAGAGGAGCAGATGCAGGACCCACGGCCACAGATTTACCTAGAGAAAATGCTCTTGATCTTATCCCACATGCTACCGAGCGTGAGACTAACTTTATCCGAGAAACTGGGGGAGGAGATGAGTAGGGAAGGGGTAAAGGAGGCACAAAACCAACACAAAACAGAAACATAAAAGTGAGTTTCAGTCGACAAACTTCCAGATGGGGGAAAGAAAACAAAATAAATAATAAGCAAATAAGAAGAAAACTAACTTGGGAAACACAATGGCATAAGAAGCAGGAGGGAGAGGGACCCAAGCGGCCTCCCACAGAGATGCCCGGGCACAGCCTGGGGATGGGGACAAGCCGCTACCTCCCGGTCTGCACAGAGATGGAGGATGCTGCCTGGGGCCCCCACCTGCACCCCGCAGTCCCAAGCCCTACACTCACGGGACCCTTCGAAGCCTCTGGTGCTCAAATTCCAGCAGGCCCCGGGCGTTGACGCTGAGCAGAAGGCTGCGGCCCTCCAGCAGGTCCAGGCGGAAGGGCCGTGCAGTCAAGATGACCTTGTAGGGACCCTCAGCCACTGTCAGCTCCATGCTGTTGTCATCATGGCCAGAGACAGAAAGCCTGCGAGGAGAGACAAAGGGACACGAGAATCATCAGGACAAAGGTCAGCCCCATGCTGGCACAGGAGGGGACCCAGAGGGTGCCAGGCATCGCAGCAAGAGTGCAAGGACACATTCGCTGCACAAAGGAGCCAGAGAGTGCTTCGAGACTAACCCAAGCATTCTCACAGCTCAGAAATGTAAGACAGCGAACAGCAGATCAGCAAAGAAGTAGAAGAAACACATTTTCCATGTGGGAAAAAAACAGTATTTCTCACATCATACCAGATACAAACATCAACTCCAGAAAGGTTACAGCTTAAAAGTTTTTTTTCCTTGGGCCATGAATTTAGCTCAGTGGCACTACACCTGCCTCACAAAGTGCAAGGTCCTGAGTTCGAACCCCATACAAAAAAAAGTTGTTTTTTCTTTTGTAGTGCTGGGGATAAAACCCAAGGTCCTGCACATACTGGGCATGTGCTCTACCAGAGTAACACCCTAGCCCTATGGCTTAAAATTTAAAACTAAAAGCGTCAAAAAAATATATAAACCAATCGAGTTTCTAATCTGGAAGCAGACAGACTTTCTTTTGTAACAAGGCACTGCTATGTTTCCCAGAGCAGCCTCCGACACCGGGGCTGCGAGGAGGAAACACACCACAGCCCGAGCACCAGGCCTGCACCACCCACCGTACCTGGCAAAGTTACAAATTTCTGTTCATCAAAACACATCTCTGGCTGGCATCATGGCACACACCTGTAATCCCAGCACTTAGAATTCCAATTTTGAGGCCAACATGAGCAACTTAAAGATTTAGCAAGATCTTGTCTCAAAAAATAAGACTGGGGATGTATCTTAGTGGGAAGACCCTGGGTTCAATGCCCTGTAGAGCAAAAGGTGGGAGGAAGACCCAGGGAAACCACGCATCACTAGAGTAAGACCTGTGCTTGTTCATGTCCTCTCAGAGGAACACCGTATCCAGCCCAGGCCAGGCCCCACAGGCAGAGTACGAAACTGCTGACTGAACAAAGGCAGTGAAAGGCACGTGGGGCAAAGAGGCGTAGAGCGAGACAGAAGCATGGTGAAGTGCGAGCCAGCTGCCAAACAGGCTCAGTGGGAATGGGAAAGGGACACCAGACAGGCGGGCTTCTTGGAAACACGCACGGAGCTGTTGGGGGATCGGCCACTAGGACATCAGGCACCCGGTACCGGGGCCGCAGGGGCTGCAGCTCATCAATCCTGATCCGAGTCATGTTCTTCTGAAGCCCTTGTAGCTCCAGCAGCAACACCACCTGCAGGGACAGGGTTTGGCTGTGGGGCCAGGAGGCAGCGCCCCGAGCTGTCCCCTCTGAGGTACGGGTCAGTCCCCATAGTAGGCCGTGCAGGAGTAGGCCACGAGCCCATCCCAGATGACCCTCAGCCACCCACCCTGTCCTCCTGACCTTGGTGACCTCGTGGACCAGCTGGACCGTGAGGGCATCAGGCCCAAGCTGCAGAGAGTCCAGCAGGGCATGGTATGGAGAGAGGCCTGGCCGTAGGCTTCGCTGCCTCCTGCCCAGTGCAACGGGTATTGTTGAGGTAGGAGGCCCCCAAAATGCCCCTGCTTCTGTCACCTGCAGTGTCCTCAGGGTCCCCCATCTTCCACAGACCACCCATGTCCACTCCCTTCCAGCCTGCTCGCCCACAACCAGCGTACTTGCAGAAAGAACTCTCTTCACAGGTCTTAAAGTTGCTTCTGTCCACAGCAAAGGCGATCCCCAGGAAGACCCCTAGATACGCCAGCACCAAAACCATTCGAGACCTGTGGAGACGAGGAAGGAATCAGCAAGGGCTTGGGAAGTGCCACCTTCCTGACACTGTGCTGTGAGGAAAGAAGGGGGAGATTAAGACACGGTACATGGGAAAGAAGAGCCAGGCATGGTAGCCCACGCCTGTAACCCCACACTGTGGGAGACTGAGGTAGGAAGATCCCAAATTCAAGTTCACCCAGGGCAACTTGTGACCAAAAAAAAGGGCTGGGGATGTTCAATCCCCTGGACCGCAAATTCATGAACAGAAAAGAAGGCAGCATGAACAGGGAAGGGCCAGGCCACACCTTCCATCTAGAGGCAGAAAAGTGAGCAACTGTCACCTCAGAGACCCTGGTATTGACACTGGTTACATCAGCCTCTCGGAGGCAGCAGCACAGAAAGTGGGTCCCAGAGGTAAAGTTGACAGCAACAGCAAGCAAGCCGCCTGGCCAATCAGGTGGGAGCCGGCAGAGCTGGAAAGCCTGGCACTGCCATCTGTGGCTTTCCCTGTACCCCAGGCACCGCTACACCAAGCCCATTTCCGCACCTTCAAATCACCACCACTCCTACCTAAGCTAAAGAAAACCTGCTGAGCCGGAAAGTACTGCAGGGGCCAGGAGCCCACTGCTCTGTATCCCCAGCTCTCAACTGCACAGATACAGTCTTAGCCTCAGGGACTGTGATTTAATTAGCCTGATTCAGGGCTCAGGCTTCAGTTCTTTGAAAGCTCCCTAACTGGTATGGTGGTGTGTACTAGTAGTCCAACCTGGGCTACTGAGCAAGACTCTGTTTAAAAAATAAATAAATAAAAATAAGAGTGTAGTTCAATGGGAAAGTGTTTCCCTGGCACACACAAGGACCTGGATTCAAATCCCCAGTACCAATCAATCCATCAATCAATGCTCCCTAAACTTCAAAGGATAACCACGATTCAAAACCACTTCTTTACACACACTATCTCTTTTCCCTTTTTTTAGTGAATAGGTTACGGTTTTTTCCTACATGAGAAAATTAAGGCATATAATGTTCAGTAATTCATCCAAGCTTGAATAGGTAGAAAGGGGACAAACTGAACCTAGTTCTCTTGACTCTGGGCCCACATACTTCAGTGACATGCAACAGAGCAGACTCATCACAGCATGATGGACCAAGATGGGTCACCTCCCCAGTGTGCCAGCAAATGGAAGACAGGGACTAATAGCAAACTTAAGTTTAAATGAGTTAATTTGAAGGATTTATTAATCCATTCTGAGTGAGCCCTAAACAGGGGTTATCTTAGTTTCTGCTAAGAAACACTTGCGGGCCCGGGATTTAGCTCAGTGGTTTCACCGCCTACTGCACAAGCGCAAGGACCCAAGTTCGATCCCCGGTACCAAAAAAAAAAAAAAAAAGAGAGAGAAACACTTGCAATGCTTACTAAATGCTTATCAAGTGAAAATTATCTTTCATTTTTTATTTGTTTTGCAGTGCTGAGGATCAAAGCCCGAGCCTTGCACATGATAGGGAAACACTCTACCACTGAGCTACTTCCCAGCTCCTAAGGTACATTTTGGTTTTTGTTTGTTTTTTTGGTACCGGGGATCGAACTCGGGTCCTTGCGCTTGCAAGGCAGGTGGCAGAACCACTGAGTTAAATCTCCAGCCCTGTTTGTTTTGTTTTCTGACTCAGGGTCTCATTCTGTAATTCAGGCTGGCCCTGAACTCAGTGATCCTCCTGCCTCAGCCTCCTGAGCACAGGAATTACAGGGGTGCACCACACCTAGCCCCCTAACTTACATTTTAAACACTTCTGGTGACTGCTGTGAGAACTCCAAGAACCACACGGTGAAATGTGTTCCAAATGAGAGTGGGAAGCAAAGGGAGAAGGGCTTCTTCTAAGCAGTGAAACTACAATCTATAGCAGGGTAAGGACAGGGCCTACTGCCCACATTGTATCTAGCATTAGCCTCAGTCGGTATCTGCTTGGAAGCTAAAGTAAACTACCAGAAGACTGCGGTTGTAGCTCAGTGGTAGAGCACTTGCCTAGCATGAAGGGAGGCCTGGGATCCACCCCCAGTACCACCCAAAAAAGAAAAGAGAAAAAGGTAATTATCATAACAGAGATCAGGGAACACAGTAAGCTCTCTAGCACCAGAATTTTGCAAGTCAAGCACTCCACACCGGGCCAGTCAGGAAAGCCAGGGAATCAGCAGGTGCTGGCTAAGTCAAGCAGGAGTAAATACTACCAGAGCAGACAGAAATGCTCCCCAAACATCATCAATAGCAAAGCACAAGCCCAGCTCCTGAGGAGTGGTGGCCCCGTCCACCTGCCCCAAGCAGAGCTACCAGAGGCTGGGGCGGCACCTCGACCCTCTCTGGAGCCGTATTTGCTGTCTATGAGATGGGTTCGCAGAGGTGTCGGGGAGGGAAGGGTTTCCGAAGTATCTATCAGCTGCGACCTGTTGAAAGCCCTAGAACTCGAGGACCCCTTGAGCACCCCGGAAAGGAACGAGCTGCAGGGCGAGCTGTGCCCATTGACCGCTTCAGATCACAGGCTGCACAGGGCGAGGTCCGGACTCTGCCTCGGGCGCCGCTCCCCAGACACTGCCAGTCCCGGGACCGCTCTGCAGCGCTGCTTCCACCCTGGCTGTTTCGGTGTCTCAAACCCGAGAGCGCCAAGCCCTTAGGTTACGTGTCTTGTTTGGGTAACGTCACTCCAGCGACCGTGAACCCGGTTCGGTAGTGCCAGGCCGCTGCCCACGTGCGGACCACGCGCGGGCGGAGCGGGACCAGGGTCGCAGGGGTCACCACCGTCCCCGCCCCGGGGAGATCGCGGGAGGCGGGGCTGGCCGCCGCGGGCCCAGGGCCGTGGCCAGGATAAACGCAGCGCAGCCGCGCCCTTCGGGACCAAAGCAGAAATGGGAGCTGGGCGCCGAGGCCCCTTCGCGCACGGTTCTACCGCGGGAGGCCGAGGAGCCGGAAGCCGCCTCCGAGAACAAGGGGCACCCGCGGGGCCAGGGGTGGCAGGGAGCCCTACAGAAAGGTGCAGTATAGGGCCTGGGTACACTGGGGGCGTCGGGGAGGGCCCCCGGTTCCGGGCTCCTCACCGGCTCCTCCGCGCCGCCATGGCCGCCACCGCCGCCATCTTGCGCCGGGTTTGCACCTTGACCCGGGCCTTCGCCCCCACGCACAGCGAGCCACGTACCACAGTTCCCGCCCCTTACGGCCTCCCGATTGGCCCGGCGCGCCCCGCCGCCGATGGCCCCATTGGCCGAGCGCACAATACCCGGGGGCGGGGCGCTGGAGCCCCGGGCGGTCCAGCTCCGCACACTGTTTACATCACACCGGGGCGTCGGGCTGAGTCTCAACTTGGCAAATTTTATTTAGAAAATACGGCGAGGAGGTAAAACGCGACAGCGGGGTTGGCACGGACCGGGCACCTCGCTAGGGCGCCTGGAAGCGGCCCGAGAAGAGGCCCAGGCGGTCGACGCTACGGTGCAGCACACTGTGCAGCACGGCCAGGTGCGCGCCACCCGCGCTGCCGCCCTCCCTGGAGAAGTCGCGCACGAAGCGGCCGCGCTCCGGCTGGAAGGCAAACTTCTGGGGCAGCGGCCCGTGCTCGCGCAGGAAGCCCCACACGCTCAGCAGCAGCAACCGCACCTCAAACGGGGCCAGGCGGCCGAACACCTCGTGCATGTTGCCCAGGGCCGGCGGCAGGAGGCTGCCCTCGGCCATGACGGACACCAGCGTGCAGGACGCCTGCAGGTGCCAGGGGGAGCCGGCCGTGTCAGGGTGGCGCGAGGCTTCCCAGTGGCCCAGCAGCGCGGCCAGCAGCCCGCGGAGGAGCACGGAGCAGTAGCACAGCGCCGGAGGCGCCGCCGCCACCAGCTTCAGCAGCTCGAACAGCAGCGGCTGCTCGAGGAACCGGCGGCCGATGCGGAGGTCGCGCTCCACAGTGGCCCGGGCGTGCTCCTCGGGCGGCCAGGCCAGCTCGGCGCCAGCGGCATCGGGACACACAGTCTCCACCAGGGTCACTGCCACCGCTTTGGCTGCCTCGGGGCTCAGGGTGGGAGCCGCCCAGCAGCCCCCGCAGTTCGCGCCTCCCGCAGCCCTGCAGCAGTGCACCAGGAGGCTGAGGAGGCTCTGGGTGTTGTACATCACTTCTTGCTGGTTGCGAGCCTGGACAGACTTGGGGGGCTTCAGACCACGGCCTATAATTCCAGCGTGGAAAACGGACCAGATCCCTCCAGGCCCTGGCCCAGCGGCAGTGTGCCGCCGGTTAGTGTCCAGCAGGGAGGGCGAGGCCAGAGGAGCCGAGTCAGCGGGGACAGGCTCACCGTCCCCATCTACCTCCCCTCCGAACAGTTCTGCATTGCCCGGATGCAAGGCTCCCTCCACCAGCAGCTGCAGGACTGCCTTGAGCCCAGCTGGGGAGGTCTGAGAGAGGCGGGTGAGAAGCTGAGAAGCGGAGGCCACTCCTGGAGGCCCATGCAGCCTCAGGGAAGTAAAGAATCGGTGCACCCCAGCCCTCACCAGTCCCAAGAGCTGTGAAGGGGACAAGGCTTCCACGGGAAAGGGACAGATGGCCAGGAGGGAGGCTGAAGCTCCAGCTACTTCCTCCTCAGGGTGCAGCAGGAGAGGAGCCAGGTCAGACAGATGGGCAGACGCAGACTCCCCAAAGCGGGCTCCTAGGGCTGCAGGGCCCTCCCCACCCTGCTGCTCCCACCCCACCAGCAGTGCCAGGTTTCGCAGGAAGCGGGCTGTGAAGGAAGGTTGCAGAATGCCTGCGTGAACCCGAGCCAGGCAGCTCCGAAAGGCCAGGGGCAGGAGACCAGAGAGACTAACCACCAGTCCGGCATACAGCTGAGTGGCCAAACTCAACTCCTCAGGGCTTCGAGCTCGGCTCAGTAGGTGACCCAAGGCATCAGGTCCACAGCTGGGCCGAGTATAGACAGACAGCAGGCCCAGGAGCTGGTGCTGCCAGAGGAAACGCTTCCGCTCCAGCCGTAGCGTCTCTCCACACAGCTCTCCAACATGGTTTCTTAAGGCGTCTAGGAAGGGCACTGGGCGTGGGGGCGGGGGTGGGCTCAGCACCCCATCCCCAGGGGACCCTCCCCGGTGATGGACCAGTTTTTGCAGATGCAACAGCAGCAGCTGGATCAGCCGGTCACAGGCCTCACGCACAGTGTCCGGCACAGCCAGGCCCTGGGTGGTGATAACCGAGGCAGGCATAGCTGTGTCCACAAGGAACTGCAGCAGGCGGTACGCCCCTGCTCCAGAGGCCTGGCTCACCAAGTGCACAGCCAGGTTCAGCATGTTGTCCAGCTCCTCCCGAGGGAAGCCCTGCAGGTGTTGCTGTAGCTGGCTCAGCACAGCTGGGGGCTTCAGGCAGTCCACGAGCTCACCAGAGACTGTGCCCAGCAGAGCTGGCGACATGACTGCCAGCTGCAGGAGGAAGGGAACTGTGGCCTGAAGGGAAGGGTCCCCACTCCAGCCCCCAGGACCCCCTGCCAGGCTGTCATGGAACATTCGAAGGAGCTCCCGCCGTATGCTGTCTCCGTGGCGGGAGGCCAAGTGCCCCAGGATGCCCACAACTGAGGCAATCTTAGGCACCCGTTTCTCCCCAGGAATGGCAGGAGACCCAGGAAAGGAGGGGTCTGCAGAGGGGGTCTGAGAAGAGCTTCCACTGCCAGCACCAGCACCCCCTCCAGCCCCTCCATGGACACAGAAGTCCTTAAGGCCACAGGAGAGCACTCGGGAGATGATGGTACCAGGAAAAGAGGAGCCAATATGTGCCACAACCCAGTCAAAGTGTGGGGAATGCTGGACAGAGGTATCCAGCAAGGCATCCACGCATGCATCTGGGCAGCTACCAATGAGAGCCGAGAGGCACTGCACATAGATGTCCATGAGCGTTCGAGTGGCCCTGCAGCCCATCCACAGCTGCAGTAGCTCATTGAGCGAGCCAGTGGCATGGGGTATCCGCTGATGCTGGCCTGAGTACGTGCTGCTCAGTTGTCCCATGAGGTCAATGGACCATGCACTAATCACAGGCGCCCAGGCCTTCGGGTTGGCCCGGATAAAATCGGACAGTACCTGCTGTACTTCCTGCACCACATCCTCTAGACCAGGTCCCCCAGTGAGGACATGGGAGGGTGGAGCTGGACGGAGGTGAGGTGGACCTGCCACAGGGCTCTCATCTAGGGCAGCCAGGTGGGCCCGGACACTCTCATCAAAAACACCTCTCAAGTGGTCAAGCACAGCAGCCCGAGCTGGCGGCAGAGAGCGGAGCAGGAGAAGACCACAGCGAGCATGTTCCCGGGGTGAGAGCTGGTGGCCCAAGATGGGGTCTATGCCGGTCAGAAAAGCCTTGATTTCCTGGGACAGCTCCTGAGCACTATAAAGAAGCAAAAGCAGCACACTTAGCAAGTTATAATCCCTCTGTGAGCTTTGATTTCTCTCCCTACAATAGGGATAACAACAGTACCTACCATATAAGTTTGTAAAGCACTTATATATCACATGTAGTTCTCATTCATCACGCAATAAATCCTTGCTATTTTTGTTTCAGTAATAATATCAATAATAATATGATCAGGTATTTGGTTTTGGAGTTCACACATGCTAAGCACCTACTCTGCCACTGGTCCAGTACCCATTTAAGTATTTTTTATGTATTACACTTGATCTTAGCCAAAAGGCAGAAGAGCAATGTTTTTTATGTATTATTTCAGTCCTGACAACAGCTTTACAGACAAGAACACCAAGGTTAAGAAGAGCTGTATGCTCTCTGAAGAGTAGGAATCATTTCTGTTAAATTGAGGAGGATGTGCTGGTGCACTCCTGTAATCCCAGCACACTGGGAGGCTGAAGCAGGAGGACAGCTTGGCAACTTAGCCCGTCTCCAGGAGGTAAAAGCTACGAGTGTCATCAATGGGAAGACCCTGGGTTCAACCCGCACTACTACCAAATAAATATATTTTGTGTGTCTATATCGGGGTTTTTAAAACGTCTTCCCAGCTTTATTGCCTCCTCTCCCACACACACAAGCACCTCAGGAATCTGCTCTTCCCGGAAGGAAAATCCTACGCGGCTCGTGAAGGGCTCTCCTTCCCAACACCTGCTGCTTCCCCCACTGGGCACGAATCCTCACCACCCACCCCCACCTACCCAGCACCCAGTGTGCCGGGAGCCGGGGTGCCAGAGTAATGCCTTCCATCCGCCCCTCCCCAAACCAAAAGGTCGGTCCCAGCACTCCAGAAACTGGTGTCGCGGGAAGAGGCGACCCCCTTCCTCCTCTCGCCTTTCTGTCAAGAGACCGCATCACCAGGGGATGATGAGACTCTGGCTGCCCCGCTTCTCTCGAGGTCCTCAAAATTTTTAATAATACAAAAAGCCTCCCTGAGAGAAGGTGAGCAGGGGGAGGCTCGCGGGACAATAAGGTTTCTAGGCCTGGGTCCCGGGCGTCCACGGAGAAAGGGCCCGGTCCCTTGGGCGTGGGGTCCGGGGACGGGGCGGCTCCGGGCCGTGAGGGCGAGGCGCGCAGGGTCCGGACAGGTCCGAGCCCAATCAGGCTCGTGTTCCTCCGGGAGGACGGGGATCTGCTTGGACGCGGTAGGGCGCGAAGCTGTGGCTACCTGAGCGGCGCGGGGCCGTGGGCGGCCGGGGCGGGAGCGGGGGGCCCCGGAGCCCCGGGAGGGTCGCACAGCGCCGACATCCCGAGCCCGCCCGGAGCCCGAGGCGCGAGCAACGGGGCGCGCGAGCGGCGCATGCGCGAACGGGAGACGCGCAGGAAGCCGAGCCAGGCCGCTCTGCGAAATTGGTCCGGCCACGCCCGTGACCCCGACACCTTGGTTCCGAGCCGGCCCGCCCGCCCGCCCTCCGCGCTCTGCACCGGTCAACAGCGCGCCTCGAAGCTTGCAGACCCTCTCGCAGTGGGCCTTGGCTTTTGGCCTGGGGCCAGAAATACAGATACACAGCTCGGGAGCTTTTAGGAAATGAAGCCTGGGGCTGGGGAGGTGGCTCAGCTGGACAGCGCTGCCTAATATGTGCGGGGTCCTGGGTTCACGCCTGGCCTGCAAAAACAGGCCAAGGAGCAAAAACCCTGTAAAAAGCAGTTGAAGAGAAAGCAGAAAAGAGATGGAAAAAGAGAAAAATAAGAAGAAAATCGTACCGAAAGTGGCACGCTCCTGCGATCCCAGCGTTCTGGGAC